TGCTGACAATATCACAGTCAAGAGAATTATTGGCTATGCTCCACTTACTCCGTGGTATGGTCGATATGTTACGTTACCTATTGAGACTATTGTCAAGACATGGTCAAGTCAAAAAAGTGACAGGGACTATTCTATTTCAGAGTTTCTTCAGATCCGGATGAGGCAAATATCAGAAGTTGATCAGGCAGTGATGGATGTTGCAGAGAGGATGACATCCAACAGATCGTCAGATCAAGAAAGATGGAACAAAAAAAAATATATAAGAAAATAGAAATTGAAAGTTGGAGATGTTGTCCTTCTGTTCGACAGTTCCCTTGAGACACAATGAACTAAAAGGTTGGAGCCCAGATCGCTTGGTCCTTACAAGATCACGGGGGAAGCAGAAGGCAAGGTTTATGAGATTTCAGAGATGGATGGATCCAGGGTTCAAGACATGGTATCGGGGTCAAGACTTCGTAAGTTCATTTTCAGAGATCCTGACTTGATCCCCACAGTGACCTCAAAGAAAGGGAAGAAAGATCAGTCATTCAAGCGAGAGAACAGTTCCAGAAAAACCGAGAGAAAAAGTACAGTAAGACAATGAGACAGCAAGACTGAATTTTCAGGAAACTGTGATCGTTTGTGCATGGTCAATTCAGCATTTCAATTTTTCAGCATGTCAGTTAATTTTCTATTCCAGCAAGCAACAAAGTTAATAAGACTACATCTTTGATGCAATGCTGCAGTCGATCCATGAGTCTCAGGTCCCAGAAAGTGGGAAATAACTGTGAAGATACGGCTTCGAGATCATTGACGCAGTGTCTAAGATCTGAGGAACTCATGGCTGTGGCACATCAAGAGATGTAATCAGTAATATTCTTATGATAAAGAAATAGCGTGATGATTATAGAATAATTCATTTCTGTCAGACTAAGAGTTGTCAGCAGAAGGACTTCGTACCTCTGACTAAGATGTCAGTCTTCGCTCAGATGAGGGAAGGGACATCTCTGAGAACAACATTTCAGTACTTCGTTGGGACTGACGGGACGTCTTTTGCAAAAAAAAAAAAATTCCCAGCTTAGGGAAGGGACCTCTCTGGGGCCGGCAATAAGCATCCTTCTTTAGACTGAAGGGAGGTCCCCAGTAAGGGCCTGGTGCTGGTTATCATGTTGCTGTTCAGTGCCTCTTGAGACTGACGGGACGTCTCTTGAGAAATGTTTGTCCTGTTATGGGGCATGGGCAGTCTGCTTGTGGGTTATGACATGATTGCCTGATTTTCTGTGCCTGGGATCTTCTTCGCTAACCTTAGGGTGCATTGATTGTCGGGGTCAGCTAGAGTCTTATTGCAGTAGGTTGCAATCTGGTGGGGTCAGCAGGTCCCCAACGTGAGTGTCGAATTCCGTAGTCGACTGAAGCTAAGGCTCCGGGGGTCTGGCCTATGAGGTCGAAAGGGGTCAGCTGGAACCCTACCGCAGTCAGAGGATGCAATCCAGTGAGGTTCGCCAGAGCCTTGAATTGTAGTTAAATCGGGTCCTACGTTCGAAAATCCGGGCGGGGCAGCCAGCGCCCTTCGCCAAAAACTGGTGGGTGAGCCGGTCCCCGACCGCAGTGGTCAAATCCGAGTTCGGGACAGTTTGGCTGACGGGACGTCTGCTGTCATAGGGTGACCAGACCCGCTATAGTCTGGGTGTCCTGGCGAGAGTGCCAAAGGGCTGTCATACTCGAGTAGTGGGTATGCTGGTCCTGACCTGGAGGCAGGTCAAAGGGGCTATCAAGACAAATGGTCTGACTAGTCCTGGCCTGAGGCGGGCCGAATGAGGTATGTCAGACTGACGGGACGTCTGTCATTCCTGGTCAGTGGTGGGCCAAAACCAAGGCAATCAATTCCTGGTCAAGTCTTGGGTGTGAGGAATCGTTTTTGTTGTGTCTATTATTTTATTAATTTATTATTATGTTTTTTTTACTTTACTTTATTTTGGGTTTTATTTTGTTTACTTGTTGCTTGGCTGATAACTGAAGGGAAGCTTGTTTGCTGGGGCATATTCGTTGTTTGTGAGACTTGCTGTTTTGCAGGTATATAAAGACTTATCTGAAGTTCTCAGACCAGAGAAAAGAAAAAGGCTTTGGTATCCCTTTTCTTTGCCTGAGAAGTTGAGGAGACGCCTCACTCAGACTAGAGAAAGAAGACAGGGTTTGGTATCCCCTGAGTCACATGAGAAATTGAGAAGGTATCTCGCCCTGACCAGGAAACAGAAAAAGGGTTTGGTATGCCCTACCCCCAGCTTGGCAGAGGGAACAAGTGTCCCAAACAATGTTATCAGACTAGCAGTGTTTCGATTTACAGCCAAGGTGAAAAATTAAGGTAACTTTCTCTGATATAAAATTCAGAGCAAGAACTGATTTCAGAATGACAAAAGGTCAAAATCAGCAGCAAGCGAGAAAATGGAAACATAATCCTTCTTAAATTTCTTTGGTGGCCGACAAGCGGCCTGGCTCACGAAGAACCTATGTCCCCGGCCTCAAGGTACTCAAACTCTTAAGCCAGGGATAATATGAGTGATGTACTAGCTGAAAATTTTCAAAAGAAACGGGTTCAGAAAGCAGAGAAGAAGTCACACCTATACAGGATATAGAAGATTACCATGAGTTCAACTTGAAGCAGAGAAAGAATAAAGAAAATGCTGAGAAGAATGCAGCTATTGGAATGAGAAGGAGAAGGAACTGCGCAAGGGATGGAGGACGGCGGAGCGGGCACTAGAGCTCTACTCGCTGTGGTGGTGGGGGCTCTGGGAGAGTAAGGAGGCGAGGAAGTGTTGGGCGCGCCGTAGCGTGCTTCGGATTTTTTTCCGGAAATAGTCCATCCTGTCTGGGGATGAAGTTCTCTCGTACCATGCAGCGAGCAAATCGCGAGGATAGGGTCTCGAGTGTGCGCCATAACCCCGTGGCTCATCATCCTCTTCCTCAGAACTATAATCACGCTGCGCACGAGTCGGCGGTTGCTCCCGAGCCTTACCCCCTCTCCCTCCTCTTCCTCTTCCCTGTCCCCTACGTGCTTTTGGCATGGTGAAGATAAGAAAAAACAAGGGAAGTGGCGCTAACGATGGCGCTTGGGAGAAATACTTTGAGCGTAAAGGAGAGCTACTATTGATAGGGAAGAGAGCACTGCTATGCAAGAATTGCGAACTGCAAAACGGGAGAAGAAAATCAACTACGGGAAACCACGTGGAGTCGCTGCGAGTAATGCGAAGGATTGCTAGCGATGTGAGAGTGCGAGAGACGGCTAACATAGAAATTATAGTGTGAACTACACCACGAGTTTCAACAAAAAGGGGTGAGAGCACTGCCGGAGCAGGTTACTTTATACCTGTTGCGCAAACGTTTAGACCCAGCGGGAACACAGGGTGGGGGTATGGTATTATGTCGGAGGGCGCGGTGTCCTGGCCCTTCTCCGTGTGCCAGGCACCTGCCCAGTGCCTGTCCTTTACCTCAGCGCCTGCTGCTCATCGGGTTGTCCCTAAATCTGTGCAACATTCATGGTATACCCGAGTGGGACCCTGTGTATGGATCAGTCCTGTTGGTGCCTGCCCCCAGCAAAAAGGGTGCGCCACGGGGCTTTCCATTGGTCCGTGCAGGCTCGGCGCCCTGCTGTACAACAGAGCACTACCGGCCTGTGGCCACGGTAGCCGGCGGGGTTTGTCCTGGGATGCAAAGTTGGAAAGACCGGCGCTGTCATTTCTACGGCGCGCCGATCACGCCCTAACCAGGTTACGGGTTAGGTGCGCGCGACAGATGTCGCTGTCAGATAGAAAAAGGACCAAGAAGAGGGAAGTAAGAAGGAAAGAAAATATGGGAGAAGAAAAATAAAAGGAAAAAAAACTAATTGTCAAGTCTATGCGAGAGCCTAAGTTCTTGCTTTAATTTGGGATTGGTCGGCGGTCTAATTTCCCAACCGCGGTCGCTGTCGGATAGCCTAGCCTGATCGGAGTTGAGGGGATTGTCTAGTGCTGGTGGTTGTGATCCGGGCCAGGTGCAGGAGTGTGATAGTGGTAATTCGTGAGGCCGCCTCAACAGCGCACCAGACTCATGTAGCCACGATGTAGAGCGGGGGTACTGTCGAAGGTCACTGTCTGAAGGCAAAAAGAAAGGAAAAGGAAAAGGTTGAGCGTTAGGCTTTGAATTTGCGCTCAAGTTTAGATCGCTGTCCTAGCGCGTCGGTATCTGGGAAAAACTTCAAGCGCCATCCTTTTCTCTCTGCTTTTTATCATTATTAATAGTTTTATTATTATTATTATTACCTTACCGGTTTTCAGACCCGGCTTTCCTTTTCATTTTCTGTCATATCGCGGGGAGGCCAACGGTTCAAATTTTGAGTTGTGGTCCAAGTTGGCCGGCCCCACTTATTCCGTCTGAGAATGAGCGCTGATTGAGTGTCGCATGGTGAGGCCCCAAAAGAAGGGGGGACCCGCGGCCGCATCGGCAGGAGGCTCATCATCCCCTATAGGAGGTCATGAACCCCCTCCTTACCATCGGACATGGGCACCCGGTGGAAGTAGTCGGACGGCACATCTTGAAGAGGGACGGAGATCCGTCGGTATCCCGTTATGGAACCGTCGTGTCAGGTTTGTGGGTCACTTTCAGGCGAGAGAAGCGTTTCAGTGGTCGGTAGTAGGAGCCGATGCTGTGACCATTGAGTCCTGAATCAGGGCACCTCTTAAATTGTTTAGTTTCAATCTATTTTATTATTCTGGACCCTTTAAAATTTCTAAATCTAGAAAGGGGTAAAAAGGACTAATTCGAGTTTGTTAGTTAGAACGCAGGGATTGCGATAGAGAGTGATCCTATAAGAAGAGGGAGCTGCCATTTACTACGAGACAAAAATGGTCTCGTTGTGCTATCGCAAGGAGGGGAGGACAGAGAGGCGAAGTGGGCGTGCAATCTGTCTGTGTGCCTCTGCTTGTGCACCCAGTAGTGGGTACTGGTCATTCGGGTCAGTAGGCGGAGGCGGTGCGGTGTCTGTAGGGCCGAGCCTAGCTATGGCGTTGCACAGGTATAGGCCCGGATACTGGTACCATAAGTCCCGGTGGAAACCCATGTCTGGGGAAGGGCCCTGGATTACAGTAATGCTCAATTACGACAGTGGTGATGAAGTGAGACTAAAAATCAACGTGGAGGGTGCTAAGGAGGTGGAGATGCGGACTAACCCAAAGCTGCAGGACGCGATCAAGGAGGCAAAGGATCGTGCGGAGAGGCGCTTCAGGAGGGACAGAGTGACGGCAAAAATGCAGATAACGGTCTCGTATCATGAGACCGAGACCTCGATGGACACAGCAGACCTGGAACAAGCCCATCAGGACCGGGACTCAGGTGGGGAGAGCAAGATGAGCGAGGTAGGGGATCGAGAGACGGACCTTTAGTCCTGGAACAGACCAGGTCAGGTCCGCAAGAAACAACCGCTGGCGGACCCTATGGAAGGCGGGCCCGAGGCCAGCTCGCGGCAGAGTCTCAGAGGGCGAGGGAAAGGAAAAAGGGTGTGAGTGATCGATGCGAGGGGCAGGCTACACGTGGCAGTCCGGGGGAGCGAGAAGAGGTCAACACATGGGGATACTCTTGTGAGAGACAGTTGGTGTCAACGGTGGTCTTCAACCCCGCTGGCGTCGCTGCCTCCTCTCTCCCTCATGGAGCCTTGTGTCGGCAGGACCGTAGTGAGCCTGGACGTTATGGCAGAGGGTCAAAAGCTAAGGCGGGTGAAAGAAGGAAAAAGCGCCAAGCCAACGAAAGGAAGAAAATATGCGGATGAATGGGACGCGATCTTGTTAGACGCAGTGAATGTCAACCGCTGTCTCCACATTTATGCACTGCGTTTTGTGTTCACTGAGCCATAGTGAGTCTTCGTGCAGTGTCAGGGGACGCGTGTGAAGAGGAAGGCGTGCCAGAGGTCAAGGCGGGAAACCGAATTACATAGGGAGGGAGAACGCGAGCGCCCTCTCCACTGTTGACGCCGCCCTCGTTGGCAGATCGCAGAGCAGAGTACGCAGCTTCCCTGTCTTGGGGCCGGATGAGCGAGACACTGTTCAGACGATGCTTGCATGCGAAGGAAACCACTTTCTCCATAGTATACAAGACACGTGCCGGTCGCAAGGTGTGTTTTGGGTCGAGGGGAGGGCTAAGATGGCAAGAAATACAGTGTACGAGCAACGTGCATGGGAGAGAGAGGTTGGAGTGATGCAGGCTACTTGAAGGGAACACGTGTACCGATCACCATAGGAGACATCGGTTCTTGGTGTGGACCAGTTCGCGCCAATCGTGGTTGCAATATGGCTGTACTTTCGCAGGGTAATCCTCTTGTTTTCCCTCTCTGTTCTCCTTCGTGAGGTTGTTAAACGATCTGCACCCCGCTCATTGGGAGTTAATAGTGAGTGAACGGATGAACACGAATGGACGGGTTGATGTCATTTGACTTGCGGACTTGGGCCGTGTAGACCGTTCATACTAACTCGACTCACGCATGGCGAGAAGAGAGAGTGGGTCAGCACGACCAGCGTGCGTTCGGGCAAGAAGCTAGACTTTCATCTTTTGGCTGTTGTGTGCGAGAGTTCATGGCGACGATTTTGCTAAGCCCTTGGCTTCCCTTCGGTAATAAGTGTCTACGTTGCATTGAGTACACGTACGGTGGCTTTCCGTATAAAATGTACAGGTAATTTTTGTACGGGATCTGTACGGGAACCTGTACGGGAACTTGTACGTCTTGTACGTGGGAGCTGCATCTATTTGGGTGGACACTAAGGTTTGAGCATGAACCTGGTGTGTTTATGATACTTTCTCAGTGGTGTATTTGCCTACCAGTGTTTGTTGGTGTCACTTGTATGCAGTAGCGCGAACACGGGTCCGAGTTCATTAGCGACTGTGTACAAACAAATAGCCTTTGTCATTCAACTCGGCATTTTGGACGCTCCTGCTCAATAAGATGGATAGAGTATAACCTCTTCTGGAAAGCGAGGACGATCTGTGGCTGGCTAGGACACATGGTCAAATCAATGGGTATGTGACATATCCTAACGGCCCCAACCACTAATCTGATCTCTGCAATCGTGATGGGGGAGGTTTTAACCTAGTATTTTTTTTGCTATGTGCGTTCACGTGTGTTGTAGTACTTTGTGTTCGTGCTTCCTTTTAGTGATGTGGCTTACTAGATCAAATCATGCAAACTTAGCTGCACTTTCTGATGGAGAACGCTGTTTAAAGTTTTCGCCTGATGGTCTATAGGTACAAATGGAAGCGTAAAGAATGGCAGTGAGAGGGGGAGAGACAATGAGTATAAATACGGGTGAAATTTGTGGGCAACGTTGACAAATGAGCAGTCGCTATCCTTGTCCCTGATTGCCCATCCTGATTGGCAGGAGAAAGTTATTGAGAAAAGTGGCGTACCTCTTAGTCAAGTACCTCGCCGATGGGGACTGATCGAGATTAAGACCCAAGGTGATGGACTGAGTTAGTACTGTATGAATTTTTCTAGTGAAAAATCTAGTGAATTGCAAGTGATTCGAGGGGGGCGTGTCCCAACTCCAATATTTGGTGGTTTCCTTATGCCTGAACGTATGGTGTGATTAAACCCGAGAATGGAGTCTTGCCGTACTTGCACCCGACGGGCAGCAAAGGTTTTGACTAACTCATTGATTACCAGACCTTGCTCCTAAGTTCAGCTAGTTACTACTCAACGTTCACCCTACACGGTAAAGAGTACTGCTATTTAATTTTGGAAGAGCTTGATCCATTGACTCATTCAAATGAGAAGGCTAACGAAGCCATGTCTAGTGATTACTCTCTATGGGTTTCCGTCATGGCTTTCAACAAGTCATTTTAGTTTTGTTGTGGTCAAGTGGACTTCTTTACTGATGACACTCTGAATATCGATTGGGAAACGAGGTGCAAACCCGAAATAGCCCCGCACAAAACTAAGGAGAAAACTATCGTATACCAAGCAGGGTACTTCACTCAAGTGGGCACTATGATCTGTGAGTTTCTTGGGTGGTCTTAGAGCGAGGCACGCTCTTTTTCAATGCTCAGTGTGCCTTTGTGACAGAGCTCACTGTTACGGCTACTTAGTGCATTGTTCGGGTGGGGTTTTTTGCTTGCCATGTTAGGCACACTACCTAGAAGGTGATTATTATAAGTGGCGTCGACTATGATACCCAGGCGAGGTCTGTCCATAATGAGAAAGGACAGCCCCGGGGTTCTGCTCAGATAAAGACCATAAGGAAAGAGACCTGTCGTGGTATAAAAACAGAGCGTTAGCTAGTGCCTAATGCCAGAACTCCTTTAATCTAGTAGCCTGATTTGCCTAGTGCACGCATGAGACGAACCATCGACTGGATCTGACAGAAAAACAATCTGCCAGCTCTTGGTATAAGCCAGCCATGGCACTTTGGTGGCCAACTTAGCAGCAAACTAGACATCACAAAGCTTTATGGGGGTAAAACTCTAGGCTGTTAAATCCTGGGTAGCAACGGAGTCACTTGGACAACCTAACTGGTTAAGGTGAAGCACTAATTGACGGATGCAGTTGTACTAGCGGAGATCCCAGTTCCCCGGTAACTAGTAGCTGCAACGAAGCAGGAAAACAAAAATCAGTCTACAGCCAGGTTCCACCCCCAGGTCACGGGAGGTTACGTCTAGGCCCAAAGCGCAGCAATGGGACCAAAAATCTGGAACCAAGTTTCGCTGGATAACGGGTCGCAGGATACTGAGCCCTGGGGGAGACTGTTACGGGTATACGTATTGAGCCGGTCAGATATACTGGTAGCATAATCTAAGAAGCCTCCAGCAAGCCGCCCGGGGCGCCTCTGACACAGTCATACCCGTGGACATCTAAATTGCGTTTGTGGCAAGTGAACCCGGTAGTGCTTGTGGGGTGAAACTGTATTGATTAACGTGTCGTGAGACCCCAAATCAGCTCTAACAAAACTCAATACAATGAGGAGGTACTCTTGTCAATTAATGTGAACGGTTGAGCCCTTGCAGTCCGATAATCAAATTGCGGTATCAGTTTTCGAAGACTTTGAAAGAAGTTCGGACCATGGGAATTGAGAGTAGTGTGCGGGTGACCTACTCCCTCAGTGGAAGCAAAAGGGATGGCTGGGAGGCGAAAATGATCAGGGACGTCCCGGGCATTTTAGCTCAGATGAGGGAAAAGGCATTGGAGCTAGTGAAGGATCAGGGGCTCATTGAGTATTCCATCTATATCGTTGGGCTAGACAGAAAGCCGCACAGCGCATACTCGTTCATTGAGACTATTGAACAGGCCAGGGCGAAGTCCGAGACAGTATGAGAGTGCTCAGACTCCTTTTTTCAGAGACGTCACCCCATRTAATCCACGATCCAAATCTCATCCAGGTTCGAAGGRTACTGCTAGAATCAGTCCGAGCCAGTTAACATTGATTATCATTAAATGAGTCATTTCAGATTAGCCAGGACCCTGTACCCTGGATCCTGGTGTCGGCACCTTAGATTGTGAGAACTCGGTAACCCTAGGACATTCTTGAGACTTTACTATTGAAGGATCAGGGACCAGAAGTGACCGAAAGTTCTCAGCCGGCAATTATTAGTAGCAACCAACTTTCTGATCAGCAGTCAACCAGCACCCAATCAACATCTATTCAGCGTCTAATCGGCATTCTCAGTAGCATTCATATCCTAAGCAGCGATCAGAAAACACGAGTCGGAAACAGCAGTTGGAAACACCAGCAGGAAACAACAGTTGGAAACAGCAGCAGGAAACAGCAATTGGAAACAACAACAGGAAACAGCAACAGAAAACAGCAGTTGGAAACAACAGTTGGAAACAGCAGTCGGAAACAATAGTCAGAAACAGCAGTCTGAGATAGCGATCAGGGCATTGGAAACAGCAGTTTGAGACAGCAATCAGGGCAGCATCCTGAGCAGCATTCAATCAGCATTCAATCAGCATTCAGGCAGTACTCAGGCAAATTTACAATAAAAGTTTAATCAACAATCTTAGCAGTGTTCAGATCTCTATCAGCAATCAACCGACAATTACTCAGTTTTCCGGACCGGACGTTAATCAGCCTTCAAAACAATGTTCAGAACACCATTCTGGACGGCGTTAAAAAGATATCCAAGTCGTGGACACTAGTCAGTCAAGCTAAGTCTCTCTCTCCCTATCAGAGAGTAGCTACTTACTAGGCACATGAGGGAGATCAATCTCATTACAGTTGACCAGTCGGTCCTTGACAGTCTCAATCAGATCGCTGCCAAAGAGAGCTTTCCCTACAAGTACGTCAGAATTGATGGGTTCAAACGTGAAGACCTGTCTATCTTCATCGTTCTCACTGAGTTCGCTGAAGGTACAGTCAGCTACCAACGGATCTTCCTGAAGAAGGGGAACGGGACACACCCTCAATTTGATGCAGTGTGGGCCGCTGCAGCTGGGTATGTGCAGTGGAAAGCTGAGAGACTCCAGGGGAACACAAAGCTTGTCTATAGCTTTGACCCTAAGCTTTTCACTGACTATCCCACACCGCCGGTCCCATACTATCGTACAGACGGCTCTTACTGGGGTGGACTGGTGGACTTGGCCAAGAGATACATGTCGCCAGCAGAGATTGACTACGAGGCGGTGACAGAACCCTCAGAGTTCCCACATCTCAGGAGTGGCATTTTTTCTCGGCCCTATCTCCCCACACTATGGGAGGAGTTTTGTGCCATGCTTGACTTCCGTATTATGGGACTTGGCTGGAAGTGTCTGGAACTAGTGGGCTTCAGGTGGCTTTACATTCAGAAGCCACAACCTTAGAGAGTACGGAGACATGGAAAGAGGCCCAGACGACAGGCAAAAAAGTGAGAAATGAAGAGTGAAGTTCTGAGGGTTGAGTGAGGACTCTTGATTAGTGTTGGCCATGCTCTTTTCCATACGTACTCCCTGAGACCATTATGAGTTCTCATTCTTCCCTCATTCATCTGCTATTGTCATTGCTCGAGTCAGTCGGTCTCGCTTCTTGCGTTGTTCTTGCCTGATGATTGCAATCGTGAATGATTCTGTCACAGTTTTCAAAATCAGATTGACTTAATTGATGCATGTATAGCACCCTATAATTTTATGACTATTATTTGCATGATTCTCTTCTGTTCCGAATAAAAATAAAAGATTCCTGAGACCGGGGACCGGCGAAGACCGCAATTGAAGGGTCTCGCTCGAAGCCGGACGCACACAGTAGGAAGGGATTTGCATTATTTAATTTATTTGATTTATTGCAATCAACTCCAAAACCCTGCATGACAGCCTGTTGGCTTTCCGGTCGCCTGAAGTGGCCCGACTGGAAAAAGTGCGACAGCGCGCGCATTGGACACCGTGCACAACACAATTTGTTGCGTTGAAGAGTTTCGGCTCGCGCGGTAAATGAAGTGAGGCCGAGTGAAACGATCCTCTTTGTAGCCGTTCCCCCCGGCCCTCCCCAAGTAGCCCGCCCAACACCGCTACCCCGGAAATGCCCTGCACGACGTCGGGGTCGGGTTGTTTTGTTTTTTTCAATAAAAAAAATAAATTATAAAAATTTTGACGGCATGAGGTGGTACCTAACAGGCCACTGCACCAACCTAGGCCCTCAGAAGCCCCGTACCCCCCACCAACCGCGCGAAAACCCAGTTTGTGGACCTCATTCATTCGCGTCTAACGCTTGTTTCGATGGGGATTCAACGTGCGTTGAATAATTCAACTCGAAACCTGCGTTGAATCCGAAATCGGACACACAGGCCAGCGGGTCAATGAGTTGATGGATTAATCTATATGAGGATCCATTTCAAAGTCTCGTGGTGTGAGAACAATTTGAAATGGCGACCCAAGAGGTAGTGTTTCCAATGATCCAGTGTCTCTCTCAAGGCGTAAAGTTCTCGCATGTAAGTGGAGGCGTTACCTTGTGACTGGGCATGCGTTTGTTGTAGTACTCAAGTGGACGTAAGCAATCATCATCATCTTGTTGCATCACTGCACTAATCTCATACAAGCTTGCATCCGTAGTTACCATAAATGTAAGTTTGGGATCTGCAATGCGGAGCACCGGATGACTCACCAAAACCTCCTTCAATGTTTGGAAGGCGACTGTGCATTCCCCATCCCACGTATAAGACACGTTCTTGCTTGTCAATTTGAACAGCAGACGGGCGATGATAGAGCATTCGGACACAAACTTACGGTAGTACGACACAAGACCAATAAGAAAATGCAACTCACTGACATTTACCGGTTGAGGCCATTTGCGGATGACCTCAACTTTGGTTGCCTTACGCTCTAGGGCTGCAACTCACAACCGATGTCCAAGGTAGATGACGTTGTGCCTTCCAAACTCAGATTTCTCTAAGTTGAGATGGAGTTGCGCATCCTTGAAGATTTCCAACACTTCCTCAAGGTCTCTCATGTGCTCCTCCATCGATTTACTGAATATTAGCCTGTCATCCAAATAAACAACAACTAATCGATTGATCTGATTGCGGAACACCTTATCCATGAGACCTTGGAAGGTGGTCAGTGCATTTGTGAGGTCGAAGGGCATGACGGTGTTGGGCCGAACCCCGGTAGATTTTCGAGCCTTTGTTGACCCCGCTGCGGGTCCCACTTGGCTCGACCCGCCCACGTTCAAGCTCTGGGCGCAGGTCATTCGTCCCGGGGCCACCCCCACCTAGTGCTTTGATATGGTTGGGAATGGGCCAATAGGGCGAGAGAGCTTAACATTGGGGATGTAGCACAACCCTTGCTTTGGGTGGTAACCTCGCTGGTCGACTCTCGCAAGCGTAGATTCTCGATTCCCCGTTGTGTTCGCAAGCAATTGCTTCTTCCAATACTCAGGCAGTCCAGAGGGGGGGTTTATTGGAGATTTCTCTTCTTCTTGCGCGTAGGCTAAGTGTTATCCTTAGGCCACGCACCATTTCCCTAGCGTCACGACAGACTTCCGGCATCATCGGGGCGCGGCCCAACCGTCCTTCCCCTAAGCCGCTATCATTTCCCTTGTCTAGCCCACGCATTCCATTCACAATACCATTGCGGTCCTTAGTATTTTCGGGCGTCCATTTTGCACGCAACAACCAAGGCACACTCACTCCATACAAAGCCATGCCCCTCTCTTCCCTTCCTTTTGCTTCCCTTTGGTCCTTCTCTAGTTCGCTTGTCCTCATCCCAATCCCGCTCGATTCCTCCCGGGATACTCACCTGCACAATTCCCACACAAGCAAATAACAACATTCATACCCCCA